ACATTATTTTTAGTCTTTATTTTACAGTTAAAATAAATGTTTATTAAATAAAGTCTAATGTTACAACTAATCAGGGATCCTTTAAAACATCAGTCTTGAGCTTTGAGTATCTTAATTGACCTAAAATGGGAAAGTTTAATCTGATTTAATGTCAGTGAGAAACATATGGTTGTGTACTGTTTTTATTGTTTGTAAGCATCTGTTTTCAACTGTACAAGAGTTTTACCCACCAGCAGTGAAATTATAACTGTAGGTATGTTTGCTTATTTGGATTTATCCTCTTTCTTCACAGTGAGGGTGCCTGAAGAGGGTTTTAAAGGTCAGTGCATCTTATTTTTATCYAGTCTTGTTCTCTGAATTTATTTATGCATCACTTCACAAATTTAGTTCAATGTTAAAACTGATCAAGATGAGATTTTGGATACAGGAGACATATTTAAAACATAAAATACAGGAAACTTGTAGATTTAGCTGTAAAGTTAGTATTGTTGTAAATTTCATCATCACTTTTTGTTTAATCATGTTTCTGTCCTCCAGGCACGGGGCTTCTTGGACACTGAAGACAGATTTSTGGTGTTAAGTTAAATAGATGGCGTTTTTTGTTTGTTTTAAAAGAAAGGCTTGAATATGTCAAGTGTTTATATATAAATAAGTGCTTTATTTTTTTTATGTTAGGTTTTCTTTGATAAAACTGATTATATTGGAAATCATCTGTTTATTACATAAAGGTAGCTGGTCTTTTGATATTTAAAGTCCTGAAATGGTCTGAAGGACACTATATTAACAACTCAGGCTAAGTAAAAATAAATCAACAGGAAATCTACCTGTTGTGCTTTGAAGTGTGACTCTAGAGTAAAATCAACTCCTGTTACTTTGAAATTATGGCAAAATAAAATCCAAAATGTGGAAGCTTTTTGTTCTTACTGCACAATATACAGGTTTATTAAAAGAAAGCATATGTAACATAATTATTACTGTGCTTAAATGTTAGAACATGTAATATCCCTACATCAGTTCAAGTATTTATATATTCTGTGTGGCACTGGTGATATGTGAGTGCAATGAACAGATGTTTCTAGGATTCAGTCCAGACTTTGTGCATTTGGAAAGAGAAACAGGGCAAGCTGTGCTTCTTGTTTTCACGGTTCTTTCTTATGGACAATAAAAATGTTTTTAAGACACCGTGTCTGAACCTGGTTCATAAAATTAATTCGTTTTAATTTCATCAGACTCAGAACTGTCTATGTAACGTATGTCCTTTCACTCATTCATCGCTCATTTTATTATTCATCAATCCACCATCCTTACATTTTTCATGTCATTCATCCAACAATTAATTTTAGGGAAGCTGTGGGTGAGTTGCTAAAGGAGTTGTAATGGATCTAATACTTTTATGTTTAAGCAAGTAATTCATGACATCCTTTAATGACCTAGATTTTCATGACATGCTGTTCATC